ACCAAATTAAAATGAAAACACTTACTTAAGTCCTGTCTTCACAAGGTTGCACCAGTCATCTGGGTCCACTTCTTCAACCACACACTGTGTGCAGCAAGTAAGAAGAGGTGCTGGTTTACATTTGGCACACGGAGCTTCTACAGCAATTTTTGTTCAAGGGATACACTAAGAACACGCAAGCCAAACACTCATGTGGGATGATCACAGGATAACAGGGAAAAAAGCTCTTGGACACAACAATCCTAATTCCTGGTGCAAAGGAAACTGCAAGTGTTTTGTTGGTCTGGGAGCAGGGGCCTCAAAGAGGATTCTTACAAGAAAGCCATCATCAAAAACACAAAACTGCTTCATATAAAGGATTATCAGGACTCTGCAAAAGCTATTAGAAGTCCATGGAAACCAGAATCCATAAAACAGGAAATCAGCCTCATCTGCACGGGGATTTTTCAGATTTCTGATCAGTCAAGCTCATCTCAGGGAGTTGCAGCATGGTTAGAGTGATCTCCTTCAGCTGAGCTGCAGTCATGTACATGTACAGCTCCTCCAGCGCCTGCAGATGGTGAGACTTCCTGAGATAGACCTGGCTTCTGTCCTTCCCCACAGTCTGCAGCTCTTCCAGGACGCTTTTTGTGATAGCTTCAAAATACTTGGACAACACGTGTCTGTGATCCGTTGTGACGCCCTGCACCATGGGGGCACCTGTTTTCAGCAGCTGGAGCACCCCGGAATTGAGGTGAGCTGACAGGAGCTTCACAGTGACAGGGTTCAAACCAGGCTGAGGAACAGAGCACAGTTCCAAGGCCAGGAACCAGCTCTCCAGCGTAGGATGTCTGAAAATCAAGGTGAGTGCATCCTCCAGTGTCTGTAACAAACAGAGGTAACAGTATCAATGAATGGATAATCACAGTGCGGGGTAAAAAATCCCTCATTCATCTGCCTATTTTCCACAGCTTGGAAATATTACAATTATAAATATTACAATATTAAAATTATTGAACATGAAATTGTCTACTAGCTGGCCAGAAGATAAAAAATATTAATGAATTACAAACACAAAAATATCATTCTCCCAACATTTATGCTGTTATACTGAACATTCTAAACATGTCAAAGCTCATCTCCAGACAAAAACTGAATATTCTAGGGTTCATCAACACATTCTAATCTCCACAAATTCACAGAACAGATGAAAGAGGGGGGAAATTTCCCTCCTCAAGTACATAGTTTTCACAACAAGGCTTTACACAGGGCTGAGGGAATACATCTTTTTCTGCAAAGGTGATCTCTTTCAGGATCTCTCCTGACTGTGTTCCAGCTCAGGGGTGAGACTGTGGATGACGCAGCTGGGTCACATCTCCAGAGAGCAGTTTTGCAACTGCTGGACCACATGCTCTATGTTCCTAAATTCTCCTCCAAGACCTCAACACCACCTGTCTGTTCAGCAAAACTATTCCCTAGAGAATCCATCAAATCAAAGTTTATTAATAGGTGCCTCTGTATGAAGGGATTTGATACCTTGTCATTTGAAGGCACTTCTGTCATCAGAGACTCCTCATCCATAAAGAGATCTGACTCAGCCTGATGCTCTTCCTGCTTCTGTTGCTGATCCAGCTTTATTTGGTTGCCACGGCACAACAAGATGCTCAGAATGTCCACATAGAGGTCAATGAGTTGAGGACCCACAGTTTTACCAACCTATGGAAATAAAGGCATCTTGGAAGTCAAGAAAAGAGGAGAATGGGAGCGGAAGGGTAATTATCCAACAGGAATAGGAGTCAACTAAGAATTACTTAGATTACAACCTCTCATTGGGGAAGGAACCACTTCCTTATGTAGAAACCTGATAAGAGAAGTCTCCGGCTGCCAAATAAATACTGACAGATTTTCATTTCTACTGTGACATTTGGAGTTACACAGGCTAGTGAATTTTACTCTTTAGAAAGGCTTCTCAGGGAGATTCAAGAGCTGGATTAAAATCTTGAGTTTTATTTGCACTCACACCCATGAGTAAGGTAACTCATGCAAAGTAAATCCATCACTCTTCAATAATCAGAAGAACTGACATTTGTTTACAAATTAGGTGCAGTTTTGCATGGTGCTGTGTAGACTCAGAGCCAAGTAGAGAAAAAAGAGCTACAGAACTGGAACCTAAATTTTAACAGCCAAGTCATTTGTACCTTGTACCTTAAAATAAACCAAATATAACAACAATATTTTTACAATATTGCTCTTACACTGCTGAAGTTCTCCACAGTGGATTTCAGGTATAGCAGCACGTGCTTTACTCCCAACAAAACCTGATCAGATGGTAGCCAGGAAGCCAGGTCTCTCAATTTTGCCTGAACACCATCCTCCAGTAAGGTATTGCTTCCTCTCTCATACGCTCTCTTTAGCAAAGTGGTAAATACAGAATCCAGTGCCACAGTAGGTTCTTCGCTTACCTCCTTGTGCTTTTTAAACTGTTTAAAGTAAAAAAAAAAAAAAAAAAAGGCCAAGAAAAAACCCAGGGAGAGGAAAAAACTCTGAGCTGAACTCGGGCTGAAGCTCTAGGAGCACAAGTGTGCAGTCCTGCTAGAACAGAGCTGTCCAGCAGTGTCCCCAGGGGAATCTGTAGTGTTCACTGCTGAACTGAGAAAAATTCACCAAACCCAGCCCAGGGGGCCTGTGATCCTCAACCCACCCAGGGGGAACTCCAGGCACTGTAAATGGAGGCCACAGCATGCACCAGGCTCTGCTGCACCTGGTGAGGAGCCTGTGTATGACCCCTGAGCCCTGGTATCACCTCCCAAACACCACAAACACCTCTTGCGCCATCAGAGAAAAGGCCTGGAGCAAATTTGTGTCCCGATGTGATCAACAAGAAATGCGGAATTAGCTCAATAAAAATGTTGTTTCTGATGGAAATGTAACCTCTATAAATTGTGAGGTTTTTATCAGAAAACCGGTTTAAGAATTCAGTGACTTCAGGTATTTCGTACCACAGGTTCCTGGGATTGCTTGGGTATCCAGAGTTTATAGTATCCATTAAACTGGTAGAGCTGAGGATATTTGGCAACTTTCAGCGACTTGAGATCTTTGTCATAGAGCTGGAACATCAAGCAGAGAGCAAGGGGTTCTCTCTGAGAGTGCAGGAGGTCAGTGAAAACAGCAACAAGGTACTCCACAATGTGTGCTCCTAGAAAAGCAAAAATAAACAAAACTATTGACTTGAGCACAGACACTGGGGCAACTTTCCTTACTTCAGGCCTTGGCAGCAGCCCACAGAGCATCACACAGAATAGTATCGAATAAGATCAAAAAGTGTTTGCAGTGACCGAGACAAGTGCTCCTGACCATTGAGGTACCTGAAAAATCCTCCACACATTAGTTCTTGCTGAAGCAAATGATCCACCTTCACTGTGTTGTGCTAAACGTTCCTATATTTTAACAGGAAGCACCACCTCAGAGAAGAACTGATTTGTACTGTGGGGCACACACCCCAGGTGCTACTTGACTGGCAAATACACACAGAGGACTTAGTGAGGTGCTGTGGGGTTGGCAAATCCTGCTCCAAGCCCACCTGATGCCCTGTGATTTTAATGCTTTCCTCAAGGAGGTGGTAGAACTTTCCAGTATTTGCCACCAGAGCTTCATTTCTCAAGTTTTCTTTGGAAAATGCATCCATTTCCTATTTAACAATGCAGTCCTCTCTCCCTGATCTAGGGAAGAGCTGCCTACAGACATGGAAACCACCTTCCTCTCCTGATCTCCACACTCTGTCCTTAAAACACTGTGTTACTGAAGCCAACTACTTCCAGACCAAGACTGTCCATGCAGGGACAGTGACTCTTCTCTTCAGGGTCAGGGAAAAAGGGCAGAAGCACCTACAGAACTTCAATGCCCCTCTTGAGCATGAAACACCATGAATCTGCACCTCCTTCTGCTTGCAGGGCAGATAATAAAATTTCTCAAGGTAAAAAATGATAAATGGTAAGAAATTATTAAAAATGGATAAAAATGATGGCACTCTCACTCCTCCAGTAGAAAAGTCACATAAAACCAAAAAAAATCTGTACCTGTTCCATGTTCAGACTGAAGCAACAGTATATTCCTGGCTTCTAATGCAGCAGGGACAACAGCACTGAAAGGAAATGTTTGGATAATCATGTCTTCATCTAAAGAGAACCCAATTTCTTCATCGAAGCCATCACTGCCCTCGATCAGAACATCACCATATCCAGGACAACTAATAAGTGAAGGAAAAAATGTAAGCAGGGGATCCAGACTAACTGGAAAAACAACAGAGGTACAATGCAACATTCCAGGAACACAAGGCATCTTTTACGTTCCTCAAAAAAAAAAAAAAAAACACATTTGTCAGGTGATACAATGTTAAGTGCAACACAAAAACCACAGCTGTACTTCACTGTGCCTTTCAGTGCTGCTGTCCAGCACAGGTTGCCCAGAGAAGCTGTGGCTGCTCCGGGATCCCTGGAAGTGTCCAAAGTCAGCCTGGACAGGGCTTGGAGTATCCTGGGCTACTGAAGAGTGTCCCTGCCCATGGCAGGGGTTGGAACTGGACGAGCTTTAAAAGGTGCCTTCCCATCCAAATCATTCTGGGATTCCAGGATTCTATGAACAGCCCCAAGCAGAAGGACGAAATTTCCATTTTAGTTTGAAAATGCTGCTGCAAGAGCATGAAGAGAGATGTCAAATACTGTTAAAGTGGCACAACCACATCAAAAATTACGTTTGGGGGTAACTTTGCAATTCCGACTTCTGATAGCAAGTACACGTGGAGGGCTGAATCCTGGAGGTCCTTACATATGAGGATTTCTATAGCTATCCACCTCCAGTTTGCTGATTAGGGCTAGAAAATGTAGCCCCAAGTCGTGGAATTCTGTTGTTGAGGGGTTACCACATACCATCAATGTGAGAGACTGGGATGCTGATGTTATCAGAGTCCTGTTTAAACATAGCAACCTGGAGCATGCTGGCTTCCTGAACCACATCTGCTGCCTTGTCTGTGTAGGGATAGGGCTTTGTCACCAGCTTCAGAAGGATCTGTCAGCAAAGGTGGGGAGAAAAGTAAGTGCACCAGCTGTCAAGTGCAGGGGAACCATCTGTTGCTAAGAAAGACCATGTGCTAGAAGTGGTTGGAAGCTGGGCAGGTTTTAGGAGGACAAGTTCCATATTACTTCTGCAGGATTCCGTCCACGATTCCTGCTCTACAGGGGACACTGATGGAAAAGATAAATGTCCACTGCAATTTGGCATCTAGATTGCTACCACAGACTGAGTCCCTGGGAAGACCGCACTGGAAATGAAGCACTGGGCATCCAACATCCTGAAGAGTAAACAGGAAGTGTCAGCTTTCCTTGTAAAAGATCACATTTTACTGAGGTCTGATAATTTTGGCACCTAAAGAGGAGATAAAAGCTATCCACACATACAACACTCTATCCTTATACCAACAATAAATGCTGTCATAACAACGGATCTTTTTGGATTTAATTTTCCCACTCATCATTTTGCTGTCCCTCCCACTGAAGACAAGAACAATGCCACCTTTGTATAAAGAATCCCAAACAATGCTTTTCTCAGAATTCACTCACTGGTATTTGACAGGTTTCTCAACAAAATCTCTAGTTTCCACTAACACTGTTCTTCGCACTGTTTATCCAGCTAATTTGAACACTGTTACCCTTTCCAAAAACTGAATCACTGCTTCCTTCTGGTCTTCTTTTGTATTATCCAAGTGTTCCAGCCAAATTGAAAGTTCCTTCCATGTGTACTCAAACACTCCACTGTCACGCAAAACCTGTCCAGGAAACAAAGGGGGAGGTGTGTAAATAAAACCTCAAAACACCTAAAGTACAAAACCCCAAGAGATACAGATCTTTTTGCATAGTAACTTCATGATTCCTTCTTTTGGGAAAGCAAAGAAGAAGAGCAGGTTGATGAAAAGAATGATCTGTCACTCTCCCCACCCCCCTCAGGTCAAGAGGCCTTACTCCCACTCACTAGGGGGAGTTCAACTGCATAGTGGACAATAAAAATCTTACTTCTATAATTTCTGGAAAGCAGGTTATACTGCTTTCAGAGGGTTGTACATCTTTATATCATCACAGGCAGAAAAAAAACCTGCCTCAAAATACCCTGTAGGGGACATTTAGAAAACTACTGATCTAACATAAAGGAAAATCACTGCCAGATTAAACCTAAATCAGGCTACTTGCACATAAAACAATTAGGCAGACGGATAAACAGTCACGAAAATGAGCAGTGGGTTGTGACCACAGCAAGGTCCAGAGAGAAGTGCAAGTTGTGGTGAGGTAGACCCAGATGTATCACAACCAAGAGACAGGCCTTGACATATCTAGAAATTTTTCCCACTTTCCTACTCTCTAAATTCAGGCCCTGACCTCAGGCACCCAATCTAGCAACTTAGTGACCCTGTGCTCCAGCTCTACAAGCAAGAAAGGAGGAGGGAGAAGAGGAGAGGAAGGAATCAAAGTGACACCATGGTTAAACTCCCTGCCCCTATCTGTCAACAAGAGAGGAAACCTTGCTCAGCTTCCTGACTCTGGCACCCACAATACACAGGATCAATCTGTGCCTTTGCTCCTCTCCACATACAAAATAAAAGCAAGCCACCACAACACATTTGTTCTACATTTACTCTGTGCACAACACCAGCAACTCTAAAAATAACTGCTGCTTACATTAATCTGACAGGATAATTCATTTAAATAAAGAAAAAATGAAGGAAAAAGGATTCATATTAATATAATTGACTATTTTTGGCAGAGTCTTGAAATAGAAATGCACTTGCAGCTCTCACAGAAACAGGCAGGAACAGAATGTGAAATCCAAAAACAAGCCTTCAGTTACATGGCACTGCGTAGAAAAATAAGCCCTTACCATCTATTCTTAGTAGCCTTTCTGCTGACGTAACTGCCCTAACCTCCCTGTTCCTGCACTCCCTTCAGAGAAAATGCAATGGACTGAAGTGGAAAGTGGACACAAGAACAAGTAAGGCAGCCCATGTTCCCACCTGGCAAAAGAAAAACCACCAGAAAACCAGCACATTTTGAGCAGGTTTTGGTTCAGACATTCATTACTGGGAGACCAAGA